AAACTGCTGATAACTGTTACTGCTCATCACTGTTAGGCAAATATTCTAGAGTGGGTTAGTCTTGTACGATTTGCATACATTTTAAGAGTAAGGACGTTCTTATCTTAATGGACAAAGAAACAATGTAGATATGGCACTTTTCTAGAAATGTTATCTTTTCATTTCTCTTGCCAGAAATGTCTTGACTAGGTACCAGAATAACTTTGTGTCTAACAAGAGTCTCGATGCATCTCCGGTACCTTGAATGCAACTACGTGATTTATCGATGGCTGATGGACGACTGAGTGTCTCGGCCGTAGCTAGTGCCTTATGACTTTCTGATGTGCTAGTGATGTCTATCGAAAGCACCTGAGCTATTTTCATCAAAAAAAAGTAGTAATTGAGAGGTATTTTGTCAAGACATCGAGGCGACTAACAGTAAAAAATATGAGAAAATGCACCTAACGTGCCTTCATTACGAGCGGTGGATGCATTTTGAAGCCATCAGAGTGGTTTATCAAGACGCTTTTTTTTGACAGTGAATAGTCACATAAACTTGAATAAATATTCCATAACAACCAACATTTCTACGGCTTGTTTGAACATTACAGACACATTGTAAACATTTATCGTCGGTTGCCAATATCGATTGCTACAGCTAGCCATGCAAAAGTAACACAAATAGATTTCAACGTGGTTGTAAAAGATATTGCAACAGGCAAATGACTTATGTCAGTGCATGTCACATTCCTAATGTATATAACTTTTCTGTTAACTAATGGTAAAAAACACAAGCTTCTATGCAACAACACGGGAATATTAACATATTTCAATTTTAATAATAAAAACTCGAGTAAAAAACGTATTCACAAAATAAATAATATAAAATAATTTACATTAGTTGTTTTCTTACTCTTCATTCGATATCGAATTTGTGAGTTCATAGGAGTATGCTAATGTTTGAAAGATCAAATTCTCGTTTCCATCAACAAATTATTCTCTTATTTTAATTTCCCTAAATCTTTTAAAAAAATGAAAAGGAAAATCTTACTATCTTCTTTAATTCTTGAATAGTGAGTGATAGCTGTTGTGAATACATATTGATAAATAAATAATGGGTTAAAGAAAAAGTTATTTTTCAGAATTTTGGTTTTGAGGAGATTTTTAAACGAGAATTAAACAGACAAACAAATGAATCACATTGAACAATATCTTTACCGAGGTTCTCAAGCGTATTGCACAAGAGCTAATGGATCAAAAACTGGTCACATGGTAAGTCGCCTGGATAAATCGAATGAACATAATAGGTGAATCAGAAATAAATGAACACTTTTTACACCGACGTAGTTCTCTCGTTCCGAAAATTGAGTTGATTTCAAAAAGATGTATCGTTTAGTTCTTAGCAAAAACGTTTTGTGTGCAACATGCAAAAGCGAAAAGCTATACTAACAAGATCTAGATAGAGCCGTCTCTGTCTCGCTGTAATGCTAGAGTGTCTTTGTAGAAGATACTGAAGTAGATAAGTTCGGATTCCGAGCAGTTTTCGAACGAACTTACTAGCTTTCTACACAAACAAATGTAATTAGTGAAAAAAGACCAATATTTTTAACAATTAGCAGGGCTAAACAAATGGACTGTTATGCAAAACTGAACTAAAGTGCAAACGTTGAAGGAATGAGCTGATAGGATATTAACGAGTTAATAAAACGTTCCGTGTTTCTGTACTGAAATGCTTTTATAATAACTTTATTAGTCATTAATAATATTCAATGTACAATTTTGCAAAATAAAAATTCTGCCGCATTGTTGTTCACTTAAAATTCCCATAAATCTGCTTATATTATAATCGAATAATACTTTATTTTATTATTTACAGTAGTATTAATAAAGACAATTTTAATTACATACACAGGGACACTTGGCGTATGCAATACATTTACTCCTGACTCACATATCAGAACCCACATCGTCTATCGAGAATCGCTTAATTATCTTTAGTTGCCTATGACTCAGCTCATAAATAGAATAATAAGTATGCTGGAAAAAAGCAAGATTTACGATATAACTGCCGGACTATCGCTGGGGTGAAATTTCGTCTGCAGAAAGGGAACATCTACATATTATAACAAACATAAAGTTCCAAGCAACTACACTCTAAAAAATAGTCGTAGATTAATAAACTATCAAAAAGGGTTTATTGAGATCAATAAACCTTTTAAAAAACGCTTTTCCATTTTTTATTTCCAAAAAACTAAAAAGGGTTCGTGACAGATGTAAAATGAAAAACGGGCGTTTTTTATCAAAAATAAAAAACCCTTTTCAGTTTTTTGTCGAGTCTCAAATACCAGCTTAAAAAATCTTCGGTTTTTTAGCTAGTTTATTAGAGCCTACAAAAAACTGAAGAGCTTTTTAGCTGGTATTTTAGACGCGACAAAAAACTGAAAAGGGTTTTTTTATTTATTTTTTTTTGTTTTTGATAAAAAATGCCCGTTTTTCATTTTACATCTGTCACGAACCCTTTTTAGTTTTTTGGAAATAAAAAACGGAAAAGCGTTTTTTAAAAGGTTTATTGATCTCAATAAACCCTTTTTGATAGTTTATTACTCTACGACTATTTTTTAGAATGTGTATTGATTGGATGAAGCGTTGATAAGAATAGAAACTGTTAGTTAGAAACAGAGAAGTTTTTCAAAACCGTTTTCTACAAATCCTTGAAAGGAAAAGAATGTTTTCTAAGTAACCTTAAGTGTAGAATCAAGTGAAACCGATAAAATAGAATGTATTTTTTGAGGTAATTTAAATTAATTTTGACTGAGTTGTGCTTATTTTAAACTTTTCGGTGAGAACAGCCAAAGATGGATTATTTGACCTCATATATGTTTTCACTTGGTTTCTGACATTTTTCGAAGAACGAACGTGTGCACGAACGTTTGCACTCAGTATGGTCGACAACCCGTTGCCCATCAGTTTTTTGAGGTTATCAGAGAAGAAGGGTCTTTGGACTTCCAGAAAATCCGATACTGTAGTCAAATCACGACAGATGAAGAATCCGGATGACTTTCACATTTTACAAGACACTTTAACACACTTATCCATTGAAGAAAATGAAAATATTTTCATGACAACTTCTAGAATACTGACCTGATTTTTCAAAAATTTCCAAAGTTAGCGATCCACTTTCATTCAAACCCTTCTCAAAAAACAGTGATGTGCTTTGTAATTTGAAATGAATAATCGATCTTCGGGGCACCTGATTAAGAAATCATGTCTGAAATCATGGTACAATAAGTGACGAGGTGTTTCTGGCCATTATGTTGAAATGATTCTAAAAATTTTGGTTTGCGGTCTGAAACTGATTCTGAAATGCTACACTAGTGTAACATTTTAGGTGATACAATTTTACTCTCTAAGTACAAATATCATAAAATATGTTTATAAAGTAAAAAATAATCTATTTTTTGTCTATATAACCCAGTTTGTATCTTTCCCTGTCTTCAATGTTATACAACTTTTTTTGATTTCAGCACCCCATTTGGATGAGAGATTGTTTAATGTACAAAATGATGAAATAAAACTTATTATAAAACACTACTCAAAAAATAAAGTAAAACGTAACATTTGAACGATATGTATCCAAAAAAAAGAAAAGTCATGCGACATCTTCATCTTATGTAAGCTGTTAAACGAGATATTTAGAAAATCAATTAGAGAATGATGAGATGCCGACTAAGGTCATTTTTTAGTGAATTCTCTTAAAAAGCATAAGATATTAAGTTGCATTTTATTAATCTCATACTATTATGCGTTATTGGAATTGTTGATAGATAATTAATAGATAGATCAAATATTCCATTTTCTGACAAGTGAATAAAATCGAGGCATGAAAAAACTGGCCTTGTCATAGAAAGCACATCGTTTACAATAGTTCAGATTACATTTCCTTGCATTCTTTCATTCAAAAAGGAATGTAAGACGTAATAATGGATATAATTTCCCGTCTATTACCTGTGATTATTATTAAAAAAACACATGAAAACCACTCTAAACTTGGATAGTATTTTTATTGCATAAAAGTCAGATAAGCATGCTTTCATTTTTTTAGCCTCCTGACGTATCAGAGAAAAATGTAATATAATAATAATATTATAATAATAGCAGTACATGGTTTAAAAAAAAGACACGCAAACATATGGCATACACATGAAACCATTTTTCTGTCGTGTATACGTATAAAAGAAAGTCAGAACTTGTTTTGTTGGACGAGAAATGAAAAAAAAGCTCTTCATCGAACATCTATAAACATAAACAACAACAGAACAAACAAAAAAACAAACAAACACGAAAGACGTTATATGGAAAATATAAAACGGTATATTGCGAGAAGCAAAAAGAACAGCGGTACAGTACGTCTCAGAATAAATGAGGTAAAAGAGAAATGGTTGGTTATGAAGACAAAAATGAGAGAGAGAGAAGAGAGAGAGAGAGAGAAGAGAGAGCAGGTTAATATATTGCGTGAAAAAAGAAAAAAGGGAGAAATGATCTACTGTTGCGCAAATTGGCACATACCACATAATGAAAAGCTACAGAGATCCGTAAAAATATAAATTATATTATTACTACTTTTTTGACGATAACGATAACATGTGTAACATCGAAACGACTAGAATAGTTCTGAGGATGTGAGAATCTTCAACAAGAACAAAAGTCTATCAATAACTAAAACAGATTGGGAAGAGAGGCAGAGTGAGAGGAAAAGAAAAAGAAGACGCAGAGATTATAGTTAAAACCTCAGCAAAAGACAGAAGCCACTTTATATACATGTAGTTTTTTACAATCGAATTTCAAACTGTACAGTGTCAGAAAATTATGTGATATCCACACGTAGTCTCACAGAATTCTAAGACTAATTTATCCTAAATGTTAGTCACTGTTTTTAGAAAATATAGGAGAAAGAGAGGGAGAGAGACAGACAGACAGAGAAGAATTTGAGACATTGAAAAAAAAATTTCTATGCAAAACTATCATAGATGTATACTCGAACGTTTTGATGTGACTGATTTCATGATTAATTTAGATCCATGATCACGTGTCAATTGTATATCGTTAATATCAAGTATCGATTGTGTAGGTTGTAAATTATGAATTAAGGAAGGATAAACGCCAAAAAACTTGTGATGCATTGCATCATTAGCCGAAATACGTTCAAGTGGATTATAACGTAAAAATTTTTGAACTAAATCAATTCCCATTAGATCTAGACGTGGTGCTAAATTTAATAGTGATTCACCGTTATAATTTGCTAAACGTAATTGTTGAAATTCAACATTTGACGTTACACCTGGTAATGTTTTCTCGGTGGGCGTTCCTAAACATTTAAATATAAGATATAATTCTTCTTCAACTTTTGTTCCGGCAAATAATGGTCGACCACATGCCATTTCATAAAAAATACATCCAACAGCCCATATGTCAATTGGTGTTGAATATTCTGTACTACCTAAAAGTACATCGGGTGGTCGATACCATAATGTTACAACTTCATGTGAATAAGTTTTTGTTGGAAAACTTTTTATTCGTGCTAAACCAAAATCTGCTAGTTTTAATTCACCACGTTCGTTTATTAATAAATTTTGCGGTTTTAAATCACGATGTAAAATTTTACGTGAATGACAATATTCTAATCCACGTAATAATTGATATAAAAATAATCGAACATTTTTAATATTCATTATATTTCCACAATCATCCATATACTGTTTTAAATCTTTATCAACATATTCAAATACTAATGTTAACGTTGTTTGATCAAATATAATATCGTGTAATGTTACTATATTTGCATGTTTTAAACCTTTTAATAAGCTTACTTCTCGTAATGCTGTACAAGGTGCACCTAAATAGAAATAATAATAAAATTTATTTAAATTTATAAAATTAAAAATACTTTAAAGTATACCTTCTTCCTGTTCTAAACGAATTTCTTTTAATGCTATATAGCCACTAAGTAAATGTGAACGACCTTTATAAACGGTTGCATAAGTACCTATAGATAAAAATGTGCACTGTTCATAATTCGAAATAAATAATTGAATAAAAATACCATTTTTCTTATGAACGCAAACAGTGAAACATTATTTTTTTCTTACCTTCGCCTAATTTCTCTAATTTTTGATAAGATTCTATTTTTCCATAACCTAAATCAAGCATTGATAAACGTTGTTCATTACGACTTAATTGTCCTACAGTTGTTATTGACGATGTTGGAGATGATAATCTTAAAAGAGATGAACTGGACTGATTAATAACACTGTTTAATGTTTGAGATGATAATGAATTTGTTTGATAATAAGAATGATGATTATTATTATAAGCATTATTATTCATTGTTGTTGTTTTTATTTTACTATTATTTGCCATTATAGTTGCTGCAGTGGTAGTTGTTGATGGTCCTTTATTCATTGTAAAATCACTGTTAACTCGTTGAAAACCATTTTTTAATTCAGGTGGTAATGATATACGCAATTTTAGATCTCTTAAACTTTTCTTCTTTTTTGAGCTGTGATCACGCATTTTCACTTTTTGTTGCGATTGTGACTGTTGCTGTGAAATTGAATTTTCTTCAATAGGTAATATTGTTAAATCATTCATAAATGAATTTGTTAAATTTTCATGATAAGACAAATGTTTATGTTTCGTCGATGGTGATGGTGGACAAGGTATATCTCGTACAGGATGAGAATATAGTCGACCTAAAATAAGAATAGAAACGTAAATAGTTTTTGAAAGCGTATTGAAAGTACTTACCTGATGACGCATCATTATTAATATTATTTGCATTGTTTATAGCTGAAATACTATTTGATAAATATCCGTTATGACATGATGAAGTTAATAGACTACTAACATCACCATGTAAACTGATGGAATTGGATAAGAATTGTTTATTACTGTTATTATTATTATTATTATTATTATTATTATTATTATTATTAGTATTAGTATTATTGTTATTATTATTTGATAAAAGTCCTAGTGCTGTCCCGATATTTGATGTGACTGAAGTTGATGATTTTGATGGTTTAGCCAAATCTGTGACTCCATTTTGATTAGACGATGCTAATTTAACACTCAAATATTTATTTGATGTTGACGAATGATTAGATGGTGATGAAGTATGTGCGGAAATAAATGACGACGACGATGACAGACTGAGACTTGGCGCCATTCTTTGATGCTGTTGTTGTTGTTGCTGCTGCTGTTGTTGTTGTTGTGCTATAAAGTCATCATTTTCATCCTGACGATGTGATGATGATGTTGACGACTGATTGTTGTTTCTCTTTAAAATAACTGTACAATTTTCTTCTTCAGGTATCGTTGCAAAACCACCTGTACTACCGTTGCACAAAATACTTGTATTAGAACGTGTTAAATTTACATAATCATTTAAATTATACTGACTAGATGCTTCGATATCGCATGATTTTGTAGGTGCTGTTATACAATTCAAACGATGATAAACAAGATCACATGTTGTTGTTGATAGTGGTAATTTGTCTGTATCTAAATTATTATTGACTGCAGTAGTATTGGATGAAGAGGACGATGATGTAGCAATAGTAGCTAAATCCGTATTTGTACTATGACTACGTTTCAAATGAAATTTTTGTGAAAAATTTCTAAATGATGATCGACGTTTTTTCTTTTCAACATCTTTTTTTTTACTTGTAGAATTATCATCTTGTTGCTGTTCTTGTTGTGATGGTTGTAATTTTTTTATTAATATATGTTTTAGTTTCGATTGTTGCTTGAAATTTTCACCATTATGTTCTGAATAAGAATTTGACATTTTTTTTAATTGTTTATTATTCATATTATCATCGTCAAAAGTTAGAGCTTTAATATTATCATAACTTAAATCACGTTGAATCGAATGAGTTTTATAAAACGATTTTGATTTATTTACACTTTTTACATCGCAATCCGTATCAATATGATTTGATAAATTCGACGATGAACGCAACATTGATAGATGATGTTGCTGATGCTGTTGTTGTTGTTGTTGCTGCTGCTGCTGCTGTTGTTGAGAAGTTAGATCGTTTATTTTTTCAATGACATTTGAAGGTACACTATTTGTCGTTGAAAGATTTAACTGAGAATGATGTCGTGGATAATTAGTATAGGACATTGGTGGTTTTGAATGGACATGCGTATGATTAGTTGTACGACTAATTAGATTGATACCATTAAAATCAATAGTCGATGAATCATTTATAGTTGTTGTTGATGGTGGTACAGATGTTGTATTTGTTGTTCCAGATGATAATGAAAATGAACCGATCGATGACGTACTTCGAGGTAGTGTAAAACGTTTGAATGTTTTAGCTATTGTCGAACTGACTTCCATTAAAATAGAATTCTAAATAAAAATAAAACAGTATCGATGCATGAGTCGGAAATAAATACCTCTTCTAATTTCAGTAAAAAAGAAAGATAGGACATTGATTAGTAGTCTAGTGATGATAGTACATGAGGCAGTATGTGAGAAATTGTATTTTTTCTGAATAATACATTTTTTCTCTCTCTAAACTTACTCAAATTGTGTATAAATTTGCTTTTTTTTATTATTGATTGTGAATAATTATAAAAATATTTTATTTTATTTTGACCATATTTGAATATTTTTTTAAAATTCCACTGATCGTAGTTCGTTATGATTAGCTTACGATTCTTTTATAGTTAATTCATTTGAAAATAGATTTTTTTCTGCTGTGTTATCGTTGTAAATATCATCACGTTTTATATAGATGAAAAAATCCATGACTCCATATGTTTGTATCACGATGAAATAAAGAAAAAATGTAAATAAATAAAAATCTAAATATAGTAGAAACACATAAAAAAATACCTTGAATTATTTATTTATCAGTAGGCGAGTTCAAGAACAGATGGTTTAAATTCAAGAATGTGTGACAGACACACCACACACACACATACTTGATTATTGCGAAAAAGAAAGAAATGGCGACGAGGTAATACACAATCCAGAAAAAGAATGGAATTCTTTTGCTAAATGAGCTAGATAAATATTAATGACACTTAGTTCAAATGAAAATGTAGCAAGTAGCAGTACATTTATTGAACTAAGTTTAAGTATATTTCTTCTTCTTCATCGTTTTGAGGAGTCAAAATACAATTTTTGTTCACATTTTTTTCTTTAAAAAATGTAGAAAAAAAAATGAGCATTATTCACATCTCTCTTCGTTTATACTTTACATTTTTTAATGAAAGAGAAAAAAAAATGAAATTCAACGAACTTTCAAAGAGTCTTAAAATCTGCGTAGACTCTGTCATTATTTGAATTTCTGAAAGATAATGAACGAAAAGATTTCGAATATGAACTAATCTAAAATGATGTCGTCGTGTATATTTCGGAAAAAATGAAATACCTATTCTTCTCTCATTTCTTTTTTTCTCCTGTTGTTTCTAAAAACATGACCTATTTCAATAAAAAAAAACATACAGAGTCGACATGGCACGTTACAAAAAAAAAATAGAGAACAAAGAAAAAGAAACTCGTTCGTTTGCTGTGCGACGCATTTATCATATATACATAGATTTCTTTTCTTTATTTTTTGAAATGTGCTATAATAATATCGTCATAAGAATAATTGACGAATATTTAATATTTTAACTCTTCTACCTTATTCGTATACATATACATGAATGTATATACATGTACAAGTTTACTTATACACTCTCTCCTTATCCTCTTTAATGCACTTAGAAACACCATAAAATCTTCGGTCATTTATACAAATGTATACTACGGATAAGATGTAATAACAACCAAAAACATATTACCTTCAACGTATACAAATACTCAAAAAAAAAAAAAACGACAGAAAGAAAAAATTTTCCCATATACACACGCATGCACATTCTCTTATAAGAATGGTGTCTATAATAGAAAAAGAAAAAATGTAGAAGAATCTATGAACAAAAAAAGAAACTAAACATGGAATATATCATTGTTCTAACACGAACAAAAGATACAGAAAAACCAATTCTCTCTTTCTTTGATGCCGATTTCTTAACATAGAAAAGATAAAATGTGAAAAGATTTTTTAATTTTTGTTCTTCATTCACGCAATATATATATAGATATATATTGGAATAGTATGAGAGAGCTCTTTCTGCTTAAATTATCATTAATGTCTTCAACACTGGCGGGTAAAATAATAATGTACTAATCTTCTTCTTCTTCTTCTTCCATTTTAAAAGAATGAAACGAACAGATGTCAAATTAGAGACGGGAGAAGAACGAACTGAAAAACACAAAATAGAAAAAAGTTATTTTTGAGTAATAATTTCATTTATCATTAGGTGTATCTGTATGGACTTCTTAGCGTAAACATCGAAAAACAAAACAATATTGAGTTGAAATGAAAATTTTGAAATTCTTTCACCAGCAATAAAAATTCCTATCCTACGCCTTTTTTGTAACAAAATCAAATACATTTCCTTCGGATATAACTACAATATACAAAACTATATAGAAAAAAAAAAAAAGTAACTCTTTCTCTCTCTCTCTATTTGTATGAAAGAGAAAAAAAACAAAAAATTGAAAAAAAGAATGAGCATATGTCGCATTATCGTCGTGTCGGGGTTTTCTTTTTTTTTCTTATTCCATTGAAAATTATATAAATTCCTAAATATGATATCGGATATCGTAAGATGAATAAAAATCTTTTTCTCTAAATGGCATCACGGTGTTACACTCTTTTTTTTGCGTATTATTTATAAATAGATGTGTTGTGTGTTTTTTTCAAAAATATCTTCAAAGAGTTCACTTTTTTTTTTAAGACAGAGTATTTCTGGAAAAACCATGTATATAAAAAAAAAAAAGGAAAAAAAATGATGGAAAATGAAGTAAAATATTTTTGATTCGTTTCCGGTTTCCGTCTCATATAGTAACAGAAAGAAAACGACTCAATGTCACGTTTGACTAGTACATATGCACATATACACGCAGTAGTTTAATTAATAATGATAAATGATATTAGTAACCGATATAAAATAATAATTATTCATCTTTGTCGTCTCATTCACAAACAAAAAAATAACTTTGACAACAAATTTCGAGAGTATCTATCAATAAACAACATCATCATGTTGAACGTCAGAAAGATATAAAACACTAAATTCCATTCATACTACTGTCAGTTTGATAATAGAAAATGTCTTTCATATGTTAATTTCTAATTATACCATATGCTCGATCTATCTTCGTATTACGAAACGATCTTACTATTGACCTTCGCCCTAAAAAAGTATAGAAATATAACACATTATAGTTTGTCACGTGGGATGTGCATTATGTCAATAAACTTTTCATATAATTCAATCTGACATCACATTCGTCCGCTTATTCCACTATTGTCTGAAAATTTTATAAAAATTCTTAAAAAATATCTGTAAGAAATTATTAAAAATTACTAAGAAAGATTAAAATGACAAGAAATAATCACAAATTTGATTAAATAAAATAAGGTGAAAGAATATTTGTTCGATGCTCAATATATAGAAGATAAAATAAACTGTCTCTTTTATTTCCATGTAAAATAAAGTCAAAGAGTGTATATAGCTTGAAACTTGAAACTTGAAAGTTTATTTTATGCTTCTTCTCGTAATAAAGAAAAGCACAAAAAAGCCAAAGGCTTGTAAATACAATGCAGTGTCACCACGCAGAAAAGAGAACAACCGCGAGAAGAGAGTATAGCGTAAGTATACAACCATCATTCAAAAATGACCAATTTCATTTAGAGTGTTGCCATGGATTAATAAGATCATTTCATTCTAATATGTTTTTTGAAAGTATTTTTCTGACTACAAACATCATTAAAATTTTAAGAAAACAAACTACATCATTCTATACATCGCAGAATTCTTTTTTGTCTTTATTACATGTGAATGAAAGTTTTCAAAGCTCTTCAGATAGTTAAGAGAGAATCCATGTAAAAAGCAATGATTAATTCCTCGGTTAGTGATTAAATGATGCACGCGATTCTCAATGATTCAAATTCTTTTTTAAAAGTTCGAGAAACATCTCATTCGATTTATTTTTTAAAAGAAAAATCGAACATGTGAGTTACGTTGATTGAAAATTTAATTCAAAAACGACATGCGAACGAATCTACTCGTCTGTCTAACAGAAAACCCAATATTTCGAGAAAACAGATTAATAAAAAGAAGTAAGCCTTCTTTTTATAGACTGCTATCTGATCTAATTATAGTCTATTTCTATTTGCTGGAATGCACTTGCCAAAGGAAATATTAGTATTACAGAAGACTTAAAAAATTATCAATAGTTTTTTAGTCAACGGTAAGTAAGTTTCGATGTAGACCATCTTCTTTTGAAATTCGAAGTAAGAACTTCTGTTGACCATATTTTTAGTTTCAATGTAAGGGTACGTTTATTACAAACGTTTTCTCATTATGAACTCAGAAGTTGAGCGATGTTCGCATGAACTCTCTCGACATTTAATATTATAATAAACGTCATTATCAAGAGTTATTTCATGAAAAATAGAAATAACATAAAAAGAAGACATAAAAAGAGGTACAATCTAAAATAGCTTATAAACGGGCGGAAGAAAAAGATCAAATTTTTGAATTTTCTCTAGTTAGAAGGTATGTAAAAATAGAAATATTCTTTTACAAGCGAAAAAACCTGTTTTGTATCCGTTATTTATTTAACAAAGATGTTCACTAACTATTGACCGGGAAAACGTCATAATATTCAAGAACTCGATCAAATATTAACGTCATGAATATTAAATAACAACGTATCAGCATTTGTCTTTTCAATATAATATTGAAAAGGCTTTAACATACGTGCACTTCTCTCTTACACACATACACTCCCTTTCTTACTTATACTTACAATGACTATACTATCAATAGATGTTTACACGATCACATACATATTCATTTATTCATTTTTTTTGTTTTTCAGGTTAAGTGATCCGTGTGTGTTAATCAAAGTAAACTTTATCAACTACGTATCTGTATATAATAACCGTATTGTAGTCTTCAATAAACAGCGAAAGAAATGAAATAAACGCGAACATAAAGCATCAGAAAATACACATACAACTCAGCTGGAAAAGATAGATGATAATGATGATTCGTAAAATAAACAGATAATCATCTTACTAAAACGTTCAGTAGTAGTAGAGTAAAGATAAAGAAAGGAGTGTTTAATTATTAAGGTGTATTATTAAGTTCTTACTAGATCGATTAAGCAAACAAATAATTAATTTTCTAGTATAAACCACCACTACCAGTCGCACCTGTTCTTTAGACGTTCTTGAATATGTTGATACAATTTTTTTTTTTCTTTTGTACACGTGAACTTGACATTATTATTATTATACGTTAAGTTCGTTATACGATATTGATTGTGTTGTTATTCTGTCCTTTTTATCCACAGAAAACAAAACTGAATAATAAAAAAAGATGAGATCCCCTCGTTATTGCAAGTATGTATATCCATAGATTCTGTTTCTTTTTTTTTTTTTTCTATTTAAGAGTATAAGAAAAGCTTGAGTCAAAAAAAACATCAGCAGTGCATTATGATAATAATTAGACGAAGAAATAAAGAAAAAGGATTTGAGTTATTCATTTGCACAGTCGGCGAGTTACACACAATAATTATTTTTTTACGATAATTATTAGAAAGAAAAAATTTAACAGAATAATCAATTAATTCTTATAATCATAATAATATATGTAAATTTGTCTCAATTAAGATCTAATAATAGACAGATTTATTTCTAGTTCTAGTTTAGATGAAATTTGAGCAAAGTATTATTGATCTAAAACGTTGATTGTCTTTATGAATGTGTAAAAAGCGACTTATTTGAAACATTTATTTAACCGGAACAAACGTCAGTTAAAGACTCATTCAATGCAGAATAATTCATTCACTATATTTGATTCACTTTACTGATGTATACTATAGATTTTCAATTTCTTGAACATCTAATACACTGTAACTCTTAATTTAATAGTATAATATTCAGTAATGCGTACTAGAATAAGTGGAATATAAAGGAAGTGGGTTTATATATCTAAATTTATTTGAATTTTTTGACAATAGTCAAAGATTTTACACCCTCTAATCAGGTACCTCTAAGTGAAACAAAGTGAGAAATGATGGATAAAACGACCTTGACTACTGAAGATTGTAGTACGAGATATTTCAGAATATTCAGTATCAAATTAAATCTTATCAATCTTGCTGTCTACAAATGTCTCTCTTAAGAGGATAAAAAGCAGCTAATTCTTTCTGAAAGCACATCCATAAGTAAAATCACGAATGGCAATTTTCTATATTATTAGACTATTCATCAGTCTAAACTATGCTGACTGTACTAACAAGAGAAAAATGACGTTACAAGCACAGTTCTAACGTAAATTAATTCTCTAATTAGCTTTCTAATAACTGATCTTATTTTTACACAAAAGAAATAACTTTGTATTATATGAGTGATATTTATTTGAATATTTTTTTTTGAGAAAAAATTAGAGACTTTTACTTTATATCATCTCGTTAGACATTTTCACAGAGACTGTTAACAAACGATTATTAACTTCTTAGTCTTTCATATACTTCTTCAGGCAGAAAAGGTGACAGTAGTTTTCATATTCAAATATAAAATCAATTATTAGCAAACTAATTAGAACATTATATTACATAAAAGTAATAGTTAAAATAATCTTTCTAATTAAGACCGTGCTCTTTTCGTCAATCCATGCTTATTTTAAGTGTAAAAAATGTTTTGTTGAATACATACATATTGTACTTATTAAAAAAAACCTCGTTTCCGATAATATATCAAAAAGAAGATTGCATATTTTTTAAAAAAGATAGCACATATATTCTGAACATAAACTTTTTTCATTAATATCCTCTAGAGAGAAGCACGTTAAAATTAATCTTTAGTAACTTCTTCGAAACTAAAATAGTGCATTAAAAATCCCACAATAGGAAATTAATATACACAAGAGAGTTTTCTACTTACGTAAGGGAGGGTAGATCAATATTAACTTAATGTAACCTGTTTTTAAAATGTTTTCTAGTTTCAAATAAGACTTATAAGACAGTAGTACAAGACAAGTCACAGAGTACGTAATCATTCATCTATAAAAAAAAAACCTGTATACTGTAAACTAGAATGTTTTTGAAAAAAAACATGCGATCTGCGTCCATTCTTATTATTAATAATAATAATTTTCTCGCTACTTTCTAATTCAATTTATCAAAATTCGACATGATCTATTGAATTTGATGATCAGACTAAACCAAACTTCTTTTCAGAAAATTTGCATACATGCACCAGCTATGATCAATCAAATCAAATATTTATAGATCGATTTTATCTTAGATCATCATCTGTGTATGTGTGTATATGTGTCTCTACACATTCACATAGACACATAAGTCTACAACAAAAATTGTTTTTTAGCTTCATATACTATCAGTCTATAGAGAGCTTGTTTAACAACTAAGAAAAAGAGAAAGGAAAATTAGTAATATGAAAAACTATTTTTGTTTCAAAAAAAAAAAAAAAAAAAACCTAAACAAGTGCGTATTGGGAATCAATAGAGAAAAGAAAAAGAAAAATTGTTTAGTTAATGACAGTAACATAGTTCGATAGTGTTCACGACAAAATCAAGATGATTTAAAAATTTTTCTCTAAAAATGATCATCATTCTGATTAAGTATTCATTAAAAGAAATAAAAACGATCTTTTATTAACAAGTTAGATCTTGTTGACAAAGTGGCTACACTCGTAAATTGTAAGATAAAATTCATATGTATCAGTTATCATAGAATTATCAAAGATGAAGAAATTTTCCTAATTATTCAAAATTTTTATGATAAAGAATAATAAGAACATACAATAGTGCATATTTGATACATATGAAATACTTTTCTTCGAAACTTTCCAGAAATAATCTATATCTTAATTGTTGAACTCTACCTTTCAACAGAAGTTAATTTTCTATTTGGATAACAACGTTGATTTGATGATGTATCGATGTCAAAAAGAAAAAAATCAGAGACAAACGGCAGACTGACAAGTGCTACACGTTCAAAGACAAAGACATAGTCAATACAAAATGAACAAGAGAGTTCTCTCACTTTCTTATACGATATTATTTGCTTAGGTTATCACTAATAGTTATAAATAATATAAGACTAAATCGACGAACTGTCATGCAATGATAAAGAGCAAAAAAGAATAGAACAACTGATACAGTTACGCTTTATAAAAGAAAAGAATGAACGTTATATTGGGCGGGGGCGGGGGGGGGGTGGGGGTGTGGGGGGGGGGGTGGGGGGGGGGGGGGGTGGGGGGGGGGGGGGGG